TCCATGCCGAGTATCATTAATCAAATTATGCTTATCCAGATGGCTTCTTATATCAGCTATAATTGACTGGAGTAATTTGCCTACAATTGAGGTTAGGCTTATTGGGCGGCAATTCGATGGTAACGACTTGTCCCCTGCTTTAAAAATAGGAATTACATTAGCCATATTCCACATAACAGACACTACACCTGTTTGAAGAGAAATACTTAAAATATTAGTCAATGGGAAAGTGGAGCAGAATTCTTCCTCCGTAAGCCATGCGTGTTGTACTAGCAAGGGGCTAGTAACCCCTTCTGTATAAATTACTAAATTTTAAAAGAGAAACTTTTGTTTTTCTTTTTGGGCCACCCTGCCTCGGTGGGATACAGCCGGTTTGTTGAAAGAAGGTTCACAAAGTTCCATTTTGTACTCTTTAACCCTTAAACGGTCCAAATGTATATATACGTTCACTCGCACAGTGCCCCAAATATTTTGAAAAAAAAAAATTATATATAAAAAAAGCACATTTTTTTTAAGGATTTTAGAATAAAAAAAATTAGGGTCAGTACTTATGGAGATCTGAGGCTGCAGAGTTGGCAATGATGCTTATGTGAAGAGGCACAAGAGTCTCTTCCCTTAAGCCAAAGTGTTTATACGATATACCCATTTTGTCATTTTTATAAAAAATTATTATAAGAATAACTTTTTTTTATGATTTTACAATAAATTAGGTGTCAGTTTTGTGATTTATAGACCATTTTGGAAGTAATAGGTACCTAAATGTACCAAATGTCAAAACTCACTCGACAGTGGCCCATTATACCTTTTATCCATATTATTTAAAGAATTTTTTTGGATTAAATTAAAAAGATTTCTATATGATCCATGGCAATAGTTTTGGTAGATGGACTCATGTACAAACAGACTGAGGAGTGGCCAGTTAACCTGGTCTGATTTATATTGTTTTGGAATTGTAGCGAAAGTATTTTATGTCGCAGCAATGTTTTGGATGATGTGGAGAGTATATGAAACGGGGAAGGGAGGTGGGAGGTAGAGGGGGAGAGGGAAAGGGGGAGGAGGAGAGGAGGGAGTGAGCAGGAAGGGGAGGGAGGGGAGGAGGGGTAGGGAGGGAGGGGGGAGGGGGGGGGGGAAGGGGGGAGGGAGGGGGAGGGAGGGGAGGGAGGGGGAGGAGGGGAGGGGAGGAGGGAGGAGGGGGGGAGGGGGAGGGGAGGGGGGGGGAGGGAGGGAGGGGGAGGGGGGGAGGGAGGGGAGGGGAGGGAGGGAGGGGGGAGGGAGGGGAGGGGGGAGGGAGGGGAGGAGGGGAGGGAGGGGAGGGGGGAGGGAGGGGAGGGGGGAGGAGGGGAGGGGGAGGGAGGGGAGGGGAGGGAGGGGAGGGGGGAGGGAGGGGAGGGGGGAGGGAGGGGAGGGGGAGGGGGGGAGGGAGGGGAGGGGAGGGGGAGGGAGGGGAGGGGGGGGGAGGGGGAGGGGGGAGGGGGAGGGAGGGAGGGGAGGGAGGGGAGGGGAGGGGAGGGAGGGGTAGAGGAGGGGAGAGGGAGGGGGGGGGGGGGAGGGGGGGAGGGGAGAGGGGAGGGAGGAGAATAGGTAATAATAGTAATAGGTAATAAGTTCCCTTGAAGCATGAAAAACAAAGTCCACCCCTGACAGTGACATGATGAGATAACTGATAAGAGCTAACTAACATTTGATGAGCATACACAGGGAGGAAGGGTGCAGCTGATAAGAAAAGATTAGAGGTGATATCTGATGAGCACCGCCCTCACTTTGTTTTCGCTGGTACACAAACATGTCTGTCAGGCTCCCTGTCTATCTGTCTACCTATTTAGCTCTCTGTCTCAGAGAGAGCCAAAAGACTGCATCGTCATCACGTTTACTCACATCATCAAGAAGAGTAGTATAGCACTTTGTCTGGATTTTTGGGGTTATCCTAGGTAATTTACACTATGTATACTTGTATTTATGTGTACCTGTGTGGCAGAGATAGACAGACAGAGGTAGACAGAGACAGATATACAGACCCTAAACTTGGGGTTAACATCACTTTACTCTTAAAAGAGGAGTATTAATATGACATTACATCAGTGAATCCTTGGTGTTTGCCGCACTGTTTGCTCTAGCTGGCACTCCCACAAGGTACTAAGTGGTCCTAGATTTTTTTAATACCACGCACATTGAGTGTTAGGACCCATTCTATGCTGACAAGGCATCTCAGGCCAATCGTGCCAAATTTGAAGGCAGGAAAAATAAAACGTATATATATGTTTGGACTGTTTAAGGGTTAAGAACCCTTGAAAAAAGTTCATCAGGGCCCCAGGATTTATTTTGCTTCAATCGGTCTATCCGTTTGATAACCATTTCGCTAGTGACTGTGATACTGCATAATTTATTGTCTTCAGGCCCACTATAAAAATTTATTAACTGCGATACTGTTAGTGTATTCCTGAGTGAAAACTGAGAGAAAATAATTATTAAAAATAGAGCACATTTCATTCTCCTTGTCAGTAAGATCCCCAGAGTTATTTTTAAGGGGACCTATCTTATCTCTAACTTTTGTTATATAAACCTGGAAAAATCTTTTTGGGTTAGTTTTCAAATCCCTAGCAACTTTAATTTCAAAGTCCCGTTTAGCTTTTCTTATCTCCTTTTTAACATCCCTCTTAATGTCAATAGTATATTGATTCATAAGATGACCCTCACCTCTTTTGATGCACCTATAAATTCCTTTTTTCTCTCCTAAAAGATATTTGAGCCTATTATTCATCCATTTTGGGTCATTTCTATTCGATCTAATTTCTTTATACAGGATAAATGTTCTTTGGACAGCATGTACTGTGTTAAGGAAGCTGTCATACTGATAGCTCTCTTCGTTACCCCAGTCCACAGATAAGTGTTCTCTAAGCCCATTGTAATCTGCTAAGCAAAAATCTGGGACCATTACTGAATTATCCCTACTATCATACTTCCATTCAATGCTAAAGGTAACCGATTTGTGGTCGCTTGTGCCGAGTTTCTCTGTAATTCCTAAACTATTAACAAGGGTTTCCTTACACAAATAACCCGCACATAGAAGAGAGGAGCTTACGACGACGTTTCGGTCCGACTTGGACCATTTACAAAGTCACACTGACCGAAATGTCATTGTAAGCTCCTCTCTTCTATGTGCGGGTTCTTTGTATATCGTTCCAGTCACGGTATTGTGCCCTACTTTGAGCTCCATTTCCAGGTTCTTCTTATAGTAAAACCAATCAAAATCACCTCTATTTCTATAATATGTTTTCCATTCTATCAAATGAGACCAAGAAAACGAGAATTCAACCATAAATACTATACGAAACTAGACCACAAAGTCGGCATTTTAATTAAAAAAAAAAAAAGGTCGGAGTTTTTTTTCTCTCATTATGCACTGCGTGCTCCAGGATTTTTTTTAAATGGTGCACACTGACCACACACACCCATTCTCTCACATGTGGGCCTACCAGCTTTCTCCTGCCTGATTTGAAGCCGCTAGAATTTGAGTATATATACGTCAAACACGGCACCTCGTAAGACATATATATATATGACCAAAACAGTCAAAGGGTTAATCTATCTTGAAGGTAAAAAAAAATTTTTTTTTTTTTGTTAATACTTCTGGATGTCTGGAATGGATTAACTGAATTTACATTATTTATGGGGAAATTAGTTTCTGTTTTCACCAATTGCTCTGGAATACATTAACCCTTTCAGGGTCGACTGGCCCTCTCAGAGACTTGTTCTCAGGGTCGCCTAAATTTCAAAAAAAAAAAAAAATTATTTTTTTTTCTTATGAAAAGATAGAGAATCTTTTCCTGATCATAATGCCACCAAATGTATGAAATTTGATGGAAAACTTATGAAATTATGCTCTCACGAAGTTAGCGGTCTCGACGATGTTTACGCATTGGCGATTTTGCCCACTTTGAGCCCTATTTTCAGACATTTCCACTGTACTAGTCGACAAAAATCATGAATATTTCGCTAGAACTTCATTTTTTCTATCGAATGAGTGCAAGAAACCACCCATTTAATGATTTCAACTATCCAATACAGTGGTCAGAATTTAGCAATTTTGCCAATTTCACACAAATTTCAAAAGATGCCAATTTCCAAATAGGGTCCAGAATAAACAAGAAAGACATTCCTGGCACTAAAATGACATTTTCTCTGTTCATTAGTCACGTCCCCATGCCCCTCTTACATTCTTTTGCTTTCCACTGAAATGGTATAAATAATATCGGCGCACTTGTGAAAGAATATTAGACTCGCCAGTTGACGTGTATTGGACGCTTAGCATGATTTGTTTACTTTTGAACTTTGGTAAAATTTGAACATTTCTGCTACTTTGAGCTCAATTTCAAGGTACTTTTCATTGTAAAATCAGTCAAAATCATCTCAATTTCTGTAATATGTCTTCCATTCTATAGAATGAGACCAGAAAACTAGAATACAACAATAAATACCATACAAAAATACAGTGCAAAGTCGCTGTTTTAATCCAAAAACAGGGTCAAATTTTTTTATTTCTCATTACGCACTGTGTGCTGCAGGATTTTTTTATACTACGCACACTGACCACATAGACCCATTCTTTCATATGTAGGCCTACCAGCTTTCTCTCACTAGATTTGAGGGCGCTAGAATTTAGGCGTACTAGTACGTCAAAAACCCTGGTGCGTAAGCCGTACTAGTATGGCCGAAACCCTGAAAGGGTTAAACATGAAAACCGAGGGTCCACTGTATGTGAACTGATAGGGACTGATATTTATTAAAGTTGACAAAAAGAATGTGACAAATGTTGGAAGAAAAATATTTATTCACATACACTGTATTTTCTGATACTGATGTGACTGGAAATCCTTTCCCCCATCAACTCAAAACTTTGAAGATTTATATGATGTAGAAAAATATAGCATATTATATATTAGCAATAATTAAAGCAGTTACGTTTTTCCTTGACACTTGGTTTTAATTTTGAAACTACTTACAGCTCAGGTGGTGCTCCAGGTGCTCCGCCAGTTGTAGATCCTCCAGCTCCTGCTGCACCACCCTGGATGATAATATCCAACACTGCCTTGGCTGCAGCATGCTTTGCTTTCTTTTTGCTCTGTCCAGATCCATTAGCTAAAACAAATTACTTTTCTTTAGTAGCATGATCCAATTACTGTATTATGAATGCAGTTACTGAGCTACATTACTGTCTATGTAAAAATTTTAAAAAGGAAAATTACAGTATATGATAGGCTCCAACTGAATGGTAAACTTTTAGCAATGTATTTATGTACGTGATGTAAATGGTTTATGTACGCTCACATACAGGGACTTTAGTTGTACACATACCAGCAAACTCTCCAACCGTGACTCTGTAAACAAACGTTGGTTCATGTACAGCACCCTCTATCTGCAACAAGTCATATTTTGGAGAGATTCCACGTCTCATACACAACTCTTGAAGAAGTGACACAGGCGTTTTAGATGGAAGGGCCCCTGGCATTCCCTGACAACGGCAATTAATTTTAGTTTTAATATCAACATTCTACAATTCATGTAGAACAATATATTTTTATAACATTATTATACACGAAAATAGTGTGATGGACAGCACCTGACTAAAGTACAATATACACCATTATAAAATAAATGTACACCACTGTATTACTTTATAATATAAAAACCTTACCTCAATTGAGGTGGATGAGTCAACATTTGGTGGTGGCTGATGATACATTTTGCTTCTACAGTAAATGGGAAAAAAGTCTTTAAGATGATGATGGTGGAGCTGTGCTTAGAATAATAACTATGGCGCGTGTCACCGTAGGGAGGTCCTCACAAGAGACGGGGGAACATGCCACACTTCGACACTTCTAATGCAGCCCTCCAGCCCACCTAACTTTTAGAAAATAGGAAAATTTTTGTTAATGTATCATCTGCATCCATCTTCAACTTGCTAAAAATTAAATAAATTGGCATATTAATTTTTTGTCTTTATTTTTTAAATTCATCAACACATTCTCTAAATTTTCTAAAGCCTCTATGCTCTTTGCTAATCGTAGCTTGTCAACTGACTTGGTCTGCAATTTCAAACTTATCTACATACTATCTTAACCCTTCGACTGTCGCGGCCGTATATATACGTCTTACGAGGTACTGTGTTTGACGTATATATACTCAAATTCTAGAGGCTTCAAATCAAGGAGAAAGCTAGTAGGCCCACATGTGAGAGAATAGGTCTGTGTGGTCAGTGTGCATCATATAAAAAAAATCCTGGAGCACGCAGTGCATAATGAGAAAAAAAAACTCCGACCGTTTTTTTTAATTAAAATGCCGACTTTGTGGTCTATTTTCGTATAATATTAATGGGTGCATTCTCATTTTCTTGGTCTCATTTGATAGAATGGAAAACGTATTATAAAAATAGAGGTAATTTTGATTGATTTTACTATAAAAAGAACCTGGAAATGGAGCTCAAAGTAGGGGAAATGTTAGATTTTTGCCGATGTTCAAAAGTAAAATGATGTCATTGTCCAATAAATGTCCAACTAGCCATTCTAATATGCAGTCATCAATGGGTTGATGTTATTTATACAATTATTACAGTATTGCAGTAGTCTGCGTAATAGTAAATCTTCTATTTTTTGTTTGAATAAAAATTCAAAATAGAAAGCAAGAGTAATATCAGAGGGGCCTGGAGACATGACTGATGAGCAAAGAAAATGTTATTTTAGAGCCAGGAATGTCTGTATTGTCCATTCTGGACCTTATTTTGAAATTGTCATATTTTTTAATTTTCGTGAAACTGGCCAAATTGCAAATTTCTGACCACGTTATTGGGTAGTTGTAAATATCACCGAGGTTGCTAACTTTGCGAGAGCGTAATTCCGTCACCTTCCCATCAATTTTTTTTTTTCTTTTGGTATCATTACAATCGGGAAAAGATTCTCTATCATTTCATAAGAAATTTTTTTTTTTTTTTTAAATTTTTGCGACAGTCAAGGGTTAACTTAAGATGTGCACAGATGTGTATAAAATATCTAACTGCTACTTACCCCAATTAATTTCCCTGTTTAACACAGTTCGTAAAATCTACACTTAATCTAACCCTTTGACTGTTTACGCCGTATAAATACGTCTTACGCACTACTGTTTCTGACGTATATATACTCAATAATTCTAGCGGCTTCAAATCAAGCGGGAGAAAGCTGGTAGGCCCACATGTGAGAGAATGGGTCTGTGTGGTCACTGTGCACCACATAAAAATCCTGCAGCACACAGTGTGTAATGAGAAAAAAAAAAAGATTGTTTTCTTTTTGGATTAAAGCGCCGACTTTGAGGTGTATTTTCGAACAGTATTTATTGTTGTATTCGCATTTTCATGGTCTTAGGTGATAAAATGAAAAACATATTACAGAAATAGAGATGATTTTCATTACTTTGACGATGAAAACGACCTTGAAACTGAGCTCAAAGTAGCAGAAATGTTCGATTTTTACCAATGTTCAGGAGTAAACAAATCACACCACACGTCCAATGCACGTCAACTGGGGAGTCTAATATTCTTTCACTAGTGCACTGATATTGTTTATACCATTTTTACAATAATGCAGCAGTCTGCATAACAGTAAATTTTGTATCTTTTTGTATAAATAAAAAATCAAAATAAAAAGCAATAATAATATAAGAGGGTCCTAGAGATGTGACTAATGAACAGAGGATATGTTATTTTGGTGCAAAGAATGTCTACCTTGCTTATTCTGGACCCTATTTTAAAATTGGAATCTTTTTTATTTTGCGTGAAATTGGCCAAATTGCCAATTTCTGACCACTATATTGGGTAGTTCAAATTGGTAAATGGGTAGTTTCTTGTACTCAGCTGATAGATAAAATGGAGTTCTAAAGAAATAGCTATGAGTTTGGTCAAGTGGAACAATGGAATTGGCTGAAAACAGGGCTCAAATTTGGCGAAATCGCCAATACGCATATGTCGCCGAGACCGCTAACTTCGCGGGAGCCTAATTCCGTGAGTTTTCGACCAAATTTTGAACTTTTGGTGTCATTACCATCGGAAAAAGATTCTCTATCATTTCATAAGAAAAAATAATTTTTTTTTTTTCAAAAATTTATCGACATAGAATGACGGTTTCAGAAAGGGGCCTGCGACAATCAAAGGGTTAACCCCTTGACTGTCACATCCATAATCCTGTGGTGTCTCCTGGTGTGGCAAAAAAAAAAAAAAAAAAAAAAAAAAAACTTATGAAATGATAGAGAATCTTTTCCCGATTGTAATGACACCAAAATTATGAAATTTGATGGAAAACTGACGGATTTATGCTCTCGCAAAGTTAGCGACCTCAGCGATATTTACGAATCGGTGATTTCACCCACTTTGAGCCCTATTTTCGGCTAATTACATTGTTCCAATCGACCAAACTCATAGCTATTTCTTTAGAACTCCCTTTTTTTTTATTATTGATTAAGTACAAGAAACTGCCCATTTACCGATTTTAACTACCCAATAACGTGGACAGAAATTTGCAATTTGGTCTATTTCACGAAAATTAAAAAATATGAAAGTTTCAAAATAGGGTCCAGAATGAACAATGCAGACATTCCTGGCTCTAAAATAACATTTTCTTTATTCATCAGTCACGTCTCCAGGCCCTTCTGATATTACTCTTGCTTTCTACGTATTTTGAATTTTTATTCAAACAAAAAATAGAAGATTTACTGTTTTGCAGACTATTGCAATATTGTAATAATTGTATAAATAATGTCAACCCATTCATGACTGAATATTAGAATGGCTACTTGGACATTTATTGGAAAATGACATCATTTGTTTACTTTTGAACATCGGCAAAAATCAAACATTTCCTCTCGTTTGAGCTCCAGTTCAAGGTTCTTTTCAGAGCAAAACCAATCAAAATCATCTCTATTTCTATAATATGTTTTCCATTCTATCAAATGAGACCAAGAAAACGAGAATGCAACCATAAATACTATACGAAAATAGACCACAAACTCGGCATTTTAATTTAAAAAAAAAAATGGTCAGAGTTTTTTTTTTCTCACTACATACTGCGTGCTGCAGGATTTTTTTATATGGGGCACACTGACCACACAGACCCATTCGCTCACATGTGTGCCTACCAGCTTTCTCCTGCTTGATTTGAAGCCGCTAGAATTTATGAGTAAATATACGTCAAAAACGGTGGCTCATAAGATGTATATATACGATCGAGACAGTCAAAGGGTTAAGCTAAGTAAATGTAACATGAAAAAGAGACAATACACAATATTACTGCACTCTAATTTTTCTTACAACTATTTAAATACCCTTAATTAACCCCTTGACTGTCGCAACCCCAAATCCTGAGGTGTCTCCTAGTGTCGCAAAATTTAAAAAAAAAAAAAATTCTTATGAAATGACAGAATCTTTTCCCAATTGTAATGACACCAAAAGAACAAAATTTGATAGAAAACTGACGGAATTAAGCTCTCGCAAAATTAGCGACCTCGGCAATATTTACAAATCGGTGATTTCGCCCACTTTGAGCCCTATTTTTGGCTAATTCCATTATGCCAATCGACCAAACTCATACCTATTTCTTTAGATCTCCATTTTTTCTATCGATTGAGTACAAGAAACTGCCCATTTACCAATTTCAACTACCAACAACATGGTCAGAAATTGGCAATTTGGCCAATTTCACGAAAATTAAAAAATATGACAATTTCAAAATAGGGTCCAGAATGAACAATGCAGGCATTCCTGGCTCTAAAACATTTTCTTTGTTCATCAGTCACATCTCCAGGCCCCTTTGATATTACTCTTGCTTTCTATTTTGAATTTTTATTTAACCCTTTGACTGTCGAAGGGCCAAATCCTGAAGTTGCTTCTGGTGTCGCAAAATTTTCGAAAAAAAAAAAAATTATTTTTTCTTATGAAATGATAGAGAATCTTTTCCCGATTGTAAAGACACCAAAAAAACGAAATTTGATGGAAAACTGACGGAATTACGCTCTCGCGAAGTTAGCGACTTCAGCGATATTTAAAAATCGGCAATTTCGCCCACTTTGAGCCCTATTTTCGGCTAATTCCGTTATTCCAGTCAACCAAACTCATAACTATTTCTTCAGAACTCTATTTTTTCTATCGATTGAGTACAAGAAACTGCCCATTTACCGATTTCAACTACCCAATATCATGGTCAGAAATTTGCAATTTGGCCAATTTCACGAAAATTAAAAAATACGACAATTTCAAAATAAGGTCCAGAATGAACAATGCAGACATTCCTGGCTCTAAAATAACATTTTCTTTGTTCATCAGTCATGTCTCCAGGTCCCTGTGATATTACTCTTGCTTTTTATTTTGAAATTTTATTCAAACAAAAAATAGAAGATTTACTGTTATGCAGACTACTGCAATACTGTAATAATTGTAAAAATTACATCAACCCATTCATGACTGCGTATTAGAATGGCTATTTGGACATTTATTGGACAATGACATCATTTGTTTACTTTTGAACATCGACAAAAATCAAACATTTCCTGTACTTTGTGCTCCATTTCCAGGTTCTTTTTATATTTAAAATTAATCAAAATCACCTCCATTTCTATAATATAGTTTCCATTCTATCAAATGAGACCAAGAAAACGAGAATACAACCACAAATACTATACGAAAATAGACCACAAAGTCGGCATTTTAATTAAAAAAAACGGTCGGAGTTTTTTTTTTCTCATTATGCACTGCGTGCTCCAGGATTTTTTTTATGTGGTGCACACTGACCACACAGACCCATTCTCTCACATGTGGGCCTACTAGCTTTCTCCTGCCTGATTTGAAGCCGCTAGAATTTATGAGTATATATACGTCAAACACGG